AAAATTGCGGCTTTTGTATGAAAATAGAAGGGTTTTTTTTGATGTGAGGTTGGCTAGTAGGACATATCTTAGTGCTTACTGTAGTGGAGATGGTTATTTTTGATAATTATGTGGGTTAAAGTAAACTTAGTCGAGAGGATGCAGTACACAAAAAAGGTACGTTGATTTATTGTTTAACATTTGAATTAAATACTTTGCCTCTGTAGGTATATGCCATTCACGTGGTATGCCATATGCGTATTATATGTGGAAGCAGAGTAGGTGTAATTCGTTGAACATGCCCTTTACTTGCACCAATTACTTGTGTTTTTGAAATTAAATTGGCTAGGAAAAAGCTCAAAATAGTCCCTCAACTATTAAGAAGTGTTTAATTTAGTCTCTGAGTTTTAAAATTCTCTACTTTAGTCCCCGACTATTAAAAATTGTTCTCAATTGGTCCTAAATAAGGTTTTCCGTTTCATTTAACATCTTCTTTCACATTTTGAAGGACAATTCCCTCTATTTACAAAATTCACTAATTAAATACACAGAGGGCTCGCTGATTCTCCTTGGAAGATTCATACGCAAAACAGTCTCGGCTTAAACCTAAATCTTCGTTGTTCCTCTACTCATGTGGCTTCTCCCTTTTCACCATTGACGAAACAAATAACTCAATATGCATACTCATTTGCTGCTTCTCCACTCAACGGAGCAGTCTCCATCTCCGTCTTCATCCACTTTGCTTGCATTGACGACAAGACTATCTCCATCCGAGCATTGCTTCTCCCCTTCTGTTTCACCGTTGACAGAGCAAGCAACTCAAGATGAGTACTCATTCTCTGCTTCTCCACTTGACAGAGCAGTTTCCGTCGCCATCTCCATCCGAGTTCCTTGTGTCGACAACAAGGCTTCGTCTCCATCTGAGTGCTTGTAGATCCCTCCTGACGACCGTTCATTGAAAAGAGAGGCGACTTCAACTTGTGTCAGTTCAACCTTCTTGTGTCGACAACAAGGCTTCGTCTCCATCCGAGTGCTTGTAGATCCCTCCCGACGACCGTTCATTGCAAAGAGAGGCGACTTCAACTTGTGTCAGTTCAACCTAGAGAAGCTCGATTCCAGTCAGGTAAATACGACACTGTAAGTTTGCGGAAAGTAGTAATTCATCGAAGAAGAAAAATGTAATATATGTGGCAAAATAAATTATTTAATCGGATTTAAAAGCAGAAAATGGTAGAGAAATGAGAGTAGAGAATGAGATTTTAGATTTTGTTATATTTGCCTTTAATTGTATTTGAGCAGTAGTTAATTAGGTATTAAGTAAGTTTTAGCCTAAATCCAACCAAGTAGTATATACAGTAATTTTTATGCCGGATATATTTCTAAATACATATATAAAAGATGAAAATATCTTTCAATTCATGTAGGCTGCCGTTAAATTTAACATAAAATATTATTTAAAACTATTTTAGAGCAACTTTTAATAGTTTAGACTAAATTTGACTCTTGGGAATAGTAGGGGGTCAATTTTGGGCTTTTAAATTGACTGTAAATTGATTTGGAACTATGTGAATGAGTCAAAAAAAATGAAAATGTTCCGAGGCGTTTTTGTTTTGGGTGTTGAAACCATGCCAAATAGACACTTTAGACATAAATTTTATAACCATAGTAAGCATATTGACAATATATAAACCCTTGAATCTGTTGGTTTTCCGCTGTTTAGGCATGGTTATCTTAAAATGTTATTAGCATGGACGTGTTTTTTTGTCGATCTGGTTTGCAGTGCATCGCATCCTTACCAATTGTTTTTGTAATGGTTGGATTATTTATACCTTTAGCATATACTATTATTTGTATTACCTTTATGTTACTTATAGAAGATCTTTTATGCGTTCTGATATGACCTCCATTTTCATCCTTCCATGGTTATGGAAGATCTTCTCCAAATTTTTATGGCATAGTTTCTTTTTTTATCATTCCATACTTATTTATTATTTTTATTATTGTTAAGACTTATGGCTTATGGAAAGAATTGAATGCAGAAATGGACATAAAATACAAGGAATATCTCGACGAATGGGAAGATAATGCAAATGTGAAATGTGTTCTTGTTGAAAGCAGCTCATCTCGTGCTTTTTCGGCAGGTAACTTACCTTCATTGCCTGAGCTGTTTGTCATGCTGTTTCAATGTTTTAGAAACACAAGTATTATCGTATTTGGTAATTTCATAATTGTTTTTTCTATGAATTGTTTTCCCTTAGGCATTGTCCTTTTGGATTTGTAATTGATGCAGGAATGGATATTAAGGGTGTTGTGGCTGAAATTCAGAAGGAGAAAAATACAACACTTGTGCAAAAGGTTTTTCTGTATTCATTTTCTCTTTGTAGACTGTTTTTAAGCAATCATTATCGGGATTTCTTAGGCCTTATTTTTTGCAGGCGTCTTGCTTAGTAATTGTTTTTCCAATATGAAGATAATTTAGCTGATAGTACCTATTTTTTCGATGCTTGAGATTGCAATACATTGGTAACCAGTGGGGTTTGGTGTTACCCTTCAAAGTCCCTCCTCACCCTGCATGCCATAATCCCCAACTTAATGTGGTAATTATTTGCTTCCTTAGCGCACCACTATTTCTAAGAGCAATGGAATGTTAACAAGTGTTTACTAGTCATGGATTTGGCAAATCACATACAATGGATTGCGCAGTGAGGATAATGGGATGAACTAGGATTCCTACAACAAATTTGCTTGGGGAAAGTGCTAATGTTGAAAACACCAAAAGATGAGGAATAAACAATTTATATGTTTCAGTGAAGTTCAAATATTTTTATAACCGCACTTAGATATTTCAATTGATCATGACAAGTATGAATTAGAAGTATTTGATCTCAAATGTTTATTCCATTCCTGATTTTATCTCATAATTTTTTTTTTTCTCTAATCTAAAAATTCTTTTCACTGCATTTTTTTCTCATAACAACCCACTCTAATCTAAAGATTCTTTTCACTGCATTTTTTTCTCATAACAACCCAGTTCAATCACATAGCAGGAATCTATACATATGAAGCAGTTATATGTTTAATTATACCTACTATTTATTTCTTCTTATATTACTTCTAATGTATAACACATTAACACCCAGATTCGTTTTGCTATCTTCTTTACTTTTGCTAGATCCTTGGCCTTATGCTATTTGTCTACAACTTTCTGATTGCAAGCCTTTCCACCGATCAACCACACCTCAGTTTCTCGCAGATGATTACAAACCTTATAGCTATCAAATATCCATGGAGTAAGAACATCTTTCTGACTTTCCTGAACAAAACTAACCATTTGTCATCGGTCACCTTTGTTCTCGGACTTGTATTGCTATCCACAACCACTGACTTGCCGGTCACCTCTTTGTGCATTGCTATGCCTACATTGCCCTACAAGGGGAGCTTGTTTTGAAAGATGTAAATGAGCAATATGCTCTTTTTTCTCTTATCATAGATGGTAGTCCTCATTTTTTAAATGCCTAAGGAATAATTTTGTACAATTCTTTTTTCATGTAGTACTGCACATGCAACATTTCAAGGCCGCCACCTTGCACTTAAGAAGTTCTCTCATCGACAAGCTCTACCATTGGCTACCTTGTTGCTTTTTGTTGGTCTAGTTACTAAAAAATAATCATATACTGTAGCTAAACACCAGCTCATAGACATTTTGAGGCGACAGAATGGGAAATTTGGCCAACTAGATTCGGAGTAAATTTTTTATTTTTATATTTGAATGCATCTTATGTTTATTGAGCTTTTAATGGCCTATGTTTTATATACATTTTTAGAATCATTGTCTTAAATTTACCAGAGACTTCGAATTAATTTTTGAGCTTTAAAGTGAATTAAGGTTCCTAATTTCAACACTCCCACTTGGAGATTTACTGTCATAAGAGAGAATTATGCAACACTCTCTATCACCCATGGAGATTAATAAAGGCTTTATAATACCTAGTTTATATTTTGCCAGATCTATCTAGTACAATCCTTGCTATGTATCTATTATGCTACTATACTCGTTTGTTAATCTTGAAACATCGTATGTCTTGAGTCATCTTCTTGTCCTTTGGTAGCACAGAGTATTTATCATGCATTGCACCTTCTGGTTCAATTGTATTTGTTAACAACAAGTAATACACACAAGGAGAGTGTTTATGTGTTGGCCTAAGCATCAATTTAGATCTTCTGAACTTTACCTCAAGTTTGCTTCATTCTACCTATGTCTCAATTCTTTTATTCACATGATTGTATGTTTGCACATCATCATCAATTTTCTCTTTAAGTTCAACCTATTTCTGTAGACCCATATTCTTGTATTATTAGACCTATTGATGTTGAATATTTTTGGGTATAGTGTTTCCTTAATGCCAATCAAGATAGGATGAACATAATAAGCACGTGAAAAATTCAATCTTAAGTTTGATTATTTTAGTTAGGTAAAACTTTCTTCTTAGATGAAAACTGTAAAACAAATAAAATTCATCCCAAATGATAAGATAATCCAAAACTAAAATTTTGCATGAAATTTTTGTTCAAATAAAGGTCATAAAATAATGCAGATTCACACTGCATAGAAAAAGTATCTTATAACAACCATGTAGATTTGGTCAAATTCGAATCATACACGCCCAAACTAAAACACAAAATAAATAGTTAAAAGAACTATGATAGAGGCCATCAAGGAAGATTTAAGCCTGATATTGGTACTAGGAGAAAATTTTCTCACGATATCAATGCTTGTTTTGCAATAAGAGAATTCATTTCAGATAACACAAAAGTTTGAGGGAAAATGAACTTCTATAAACAATAGATAGAATTTTTAGATATCTAAGGAATCCTGTTTATCGTATTAAAAAAGATCTCAAATCAACTTTTTTTCAAAATTCCAAACTTTACCCTAAGGTTTTCTTGTTAATCTAAGTTTTCTTGTTAAGCTTAGATTCTAGCAAAACAACAACACTCGATTTAGAGAAACAACACTTCCCAATTTTTGCTACAATGTTAAATCATGTAAAGAAGAAAACAACATTGCTCTCATTTCGTTTATTTAAGGCAACAATAACAGTTGATCTTTATAGCTCCAAAAAAGTTTTCTTGTTAATCTTAGATTCTAGCAAAACATCAACACTCGATTTAGAGAAACAACACTTCCTATTTTTTGCTACAATGTTAAATCATGTAAAGAAGAGAACAACATTGCTCTCATTTCGTTTATTTAAAGGCAACAATAACAGTTGATCTTTATAGCTCCAAAAAGGAAGAGAATAAAATATGTAAAACACTTAATAAAATAAAGGGAATCTTGTTAGAGTTGAATATTACTTGTTCAAACTTTCTCATCTATTTTGTTATTGAGATTGAGCTGAGCTTAAATGTGTCACAAATATTTGATTCTTGTCCTAGCTTATTTATTTAATTTCATGAAAGAGTTACAAGCTATAAATTTGCTTTAATTGAGCCTAACTATATATTGGATTCTAATGATTTAAATATTCAGACCTTTCATGGAACATAAATGCATTCATATTTTTTTATTAAAATTTATATAGTTCACTTAATATCATTTTTAATGTTTTATGACATCAAAAGGTTAATCCAAAAAGATTTTTATTCTACTTAGGCGTTCACGCAATATGCTTCATTGCATTGCATAATTTTTGAAATACATCCATGTAGTTACCTAATAAAGGGGTATTTATATACACATCACATAATTATTTTCTAGTTGCATATCTAATGGCTAAATTTTCACATTTATTTGTATAACTCTCTAGTATCTAAATCACATAAAAAATTATTTGTAAGATGTATTCACTTTAGATAAGTTTGTCAGTTTTATTTTTGATGTGATTTTGAAAAAAAAATATATATTTTTAAGAAATATAAAGATTTAGATGTTGGATATGTAAATACATTAAAATTTTGTGGCATGTATGTAAATCCCCTAAAGATAAAATAAGTCATCAAATAAGCAAGTTAAAAATAATTCAATGTCTATTTTATTGAGGTTTTAGTGGGCTGTTTGTTAAAAAATGAACAAATATGCAAAACCAATATGTATGAATGAGTGGGTCAATCTTCAAGTTTGTTCATTTTTTTGTTTCTGTTTCAAAATATTTTTTTCAAGCATGCTTAATTATCCAAGTAAATGAATTTAAATTCATCTCATAAGTAGGAGTAAGACCTATTTGTTAAGCGCTCTATTTCGCTTACAACACTAGCTATTAGCATAATCATCTTTAAAATTTCTAATCTATAGTCTTATGTGGTCCTAGTTATGTTGTAGTTAATTTCTTAGGGATCCATGCTGAAAATGTTTTAATATTTAGATGTACTATTACCTTATCTCCTTATTTGAATGTAAAATGCTTCAATAAATTTATAATGTGACATGAAATTAGTTTATTTGAAAATGTGATGTTCCAATCCAAAGGTAGAATCATTTATCCTTAAGATCTCTAGGAATTTTAGAACAAAGTTTATACTAATATCCTCCTAAGAATAATAAGGAATAGGTATGGTGTGTTAAGCTTAATGATGTTTCTCATTTTTTTTACTCACTTGACAAATTGTACATTATAAAATAATTTTCACTACATTTCTTTTTAGATTTGATTAATAGTTTCTATTCTCAATCATAGCCACAATTATATTCTTGTCTCACAACACTGCACTCATTCAACTCTAAAACAAACAATGTTTAAAGATGATTCAAGAATGTAGAGACAAGTCCCTTGAAAAAGAATGCTATCCTTAATCATAAAACCTTTGATAAACCTGATTGAGTTGTTGTTCATGTTATATTTTATCAGTTTTCACAATTGGCATAGTTTTCCTTAATTCTATCAAAATCAATTACCTTAATTTTCATTGTGTATAATAATAACTCTACTTAATGCAACAACATTCTTATTTTTAATAGCCATAGAGTGTTTTTAGCATAAATCCTGTAGAAATCCAAGTATTATAATATGCCAATGCTGTATTTCTCTTGCGACTTAAGATATTTTAAGGCTTGATGAGTCATGAATTTAAATATTATTTGAGCCCACGTCTCAAGACTTGCCTCATTTTGAGGCACCCAAATATTACATCAGAGATTACACATTAGTAGTTTGAGTAAGACTTGCCTTTTCTAATTGATGTAGAAGCCTCAGATTATAATTTAATAATAAAACATTGTTTGCTATGTGATGTTATGATATATTTATTGTAGCTTATGATAGGCTTTGAAAATTGTTAAGGTTTGGACTTATATTCGAGCCAAAAAAGAGGTTTTGAGCCGGCTGTGCAAATGAGTTAGACTATGGCTTTTGGGCATGGAGGATTGCGAGAGAACATGAAGGATTATGATTTGGGAGTGCTCCAAGTGATCTTGAGTTTGAGAGAATGAATTTGCCACCATTTGAGTGACTAAGGGCCTTTTTGGGGCAGCTGCAGTTTCCTTTAGCTGCAGCTGTGCTGCTCCAGAAAGCTGTTGTGGGGAAGCTGACTATCTGTTTGTTGCAGCTGTGTG